ACACACACACACATCAGGGCCACGCCCTGTTCCCATGTCAACGCCACACCCTGAACACACACGTTATCAACACCTGAACCTCAGAGCAGCTCTGACCTGAGAACAGTTTCCTGGTCCTGAACACACAGTAGTCCAGCTCATAAACCTCCTCCATGTCAGCAGATGGGACATGGACCAAAATAAAACATTTAAAATAGACGTTAAATAAATGTTTGTCAGAGAGTATTTCTGTCATTTTAGGCAGCGCAAGGCGGTTTTATTGATAAAGCACATTTCAGAGGTCGATTCAAGGTGCTGTACAACACACGACAAATATTAAAAGACAACAATTTCAAATCTGAAAGCTCAGTTTAAAACAACAAGACAAAAAAGAGAAAAGATTAAAGAAGAAATAAAAAGCATACATTTGAATTAACATCTTATAATAAGTGAAAGGTAAAAATAACACAAATAAAACAGAACAGCACTAACACAAATCAATTTTCAATTCAATTTCGAGGAGCTCAATTATGGGATGGCTTTTCACAGGTGGTCAAGAAGTGTTCTTCTATAAAATGTTATAAAAGATGCTTAAAACACAATTTAACTGCTGTTCTTTATTAATTTATTTTTTCTTCTTTTTACCCAGTCTTTAGCCTAGCCTTTAGCCTAGCCTTTAGCCTAGCCTTTAGCCTAGCCTTGGTGTTTTTTAAGACATTAATACCAAATAAATAAATGATAAATGTAAACATATATGTTGAGGCCTTTAGCTCTTCTGCTCTGACTGAACCTCGTCCGTTCAGCCTCATTAGCATCCAACGCCTCCAAGCTAGTTCCCTCAAAGTCCTCCACCTTTAACCAATGACTTCTGTTAATCAGGAAAAGAAGAAGAATCATTTTTTACCAGGAAGACATTACAGATAGGACCCACCCTACCCGGCCTCTGATTGGCTTACTTTGATATTCTTATCCTATCTAACCAATCAGAGGCAGGTGATGCTTTCGCCGTCCTTGCAGGACATGACTGAATGATGCGAACAACAGAACATACTCCGTATACCTGCAGATACCCTGCAGTACACACACACACACACACACACACACACACTTGAACTCTTGTCTTAGTGAGGACACTCATTGACATGATATATTCCCTAGCCCCGAACCCAAACCTCCACACTGAATACATACACAACCCGAGGTCTTAACCCTGAAACACCATTAAAGGTGCTTTAGGAAGTGAGGACCGGCCAAAATGTCCTCACAAAGATATCAGTACAAGTACATACACACAGACACACACACAGGTTTGAGGCTGCAGGTGAAGCAGCTCTAATTCCTGCTAAGAGGATCTATCTGCACACACACACACACACACACACAGTGTAAGCTGAGATTTGTGTGCTGAGGATCAGTTCAGTTGATGTGCGGTCATCCATGTGTTGAACAGAGGGAAGATGGGAGCTGACGACAACTCGACGGAGAAGAATCACGAAAACACAAGTGATCTCTGACCCCAAGACACACAACACGGTAAAATACACACACACACGTTAGACACAGTTAGTGTCAATTTGTCCAAGAGTTTGTTTTTGTGTCAATGTCTGATCAACAAAATGTGTGTGTGTGTGCGTGTGTGTGTGTGTGTGTGTGTGTG